ATTTTGAGCATTTCTTCATGTGCTTGTTGGTCATCTGAATGTCTTCTTTGGTGAAGTGTCTGTTCATATATCCTGTGCCCATTTTTCTGTTGGATTATTTACCTTTATCTTGTAGTGAATTGTTATTAATTTTATAAAACACAATGCATGGGAATGATAATTTGAAATACAATATGTATGGAGGAATACATGAAACAAAATTTATATAAATGTAACACTATATATGACTTTTGTATGTAAACCAATTTTAAATAATTTTATTTAAAAAATTAAAATAACAATAAAAAAATCTGTTAGACTTACTAGACTAGTTTAGTAGAGTGGCAGGATACAAGATCAATACTCAAAAATCAGGGGGATTCCACTACACAGAAAACACAGAGAAGGAAACAAAGAAAGCAGTATTATTTACAACAGCCAAACACATATTGATACTTGGCAATAAACCTAACTAGAGACACAAACCTTTTCAGTCTGTTTGCAGAACAGATCATTCAGAAAGCTGTACTTTATGAGGAGAAATGTAGCACCAGGATTGGAGGAAGACTCATCAACAACCTTCTTAAAACTGAGGAAGGCTTGAGGCACCAACATCGACTGAAACTCAGCATCAGGAAAACAAAGATTCTCACCAATGGGCCAATTGGAAGTTTCATGATAGAGAAGAGATTGAGAGTATTAACAACTTCAGGGTTTTTTTGGTCCCATAATCAACACTCTTGGCACCAGCAGCCAAGTAATACCAATTGCATTGAGAAAGTTTGCTACCAGGGACCTCTCTAGAGTACTGAAGAGCAACAATTTTAGTCTGGAAACTAATTTGCTCCTGATACAGGCCAAGGTCTTTGCAATTACTTGCTATGTATCAGATAGCTGGACAATGACTAAGGATGGTAGAAGAAAAATTGATACCTTTAAGTTGAGGTGTTGGAGGAGAGTGTTGAACATACCATGGATGGCCAGGAGAACAAGCAGATCAGTCCCATAGAGGATGAAACCCAGTTGCTCCCTGGATGCACAGATTTGGAAGCTCCATCTCACATACTTTTGGGCATCACATACTTTTTGCCAAAGCAAAAGAGATTGACAATAGATTTTGAAGGACATTTCCAGAAGACAAAGAAAAGTAGTATAAAGAAATGTGCAGAAGCTGGAGTTAGGAAATAAAACTAGGAGACTCACTTGACATTTCTCAAGCTGAAAAAAATTGAAAAACAAATTCAAGTCTCAAGTTAGAATACTGAAAAATGTTGTGAACAAAATCTTGAATGATGCAGGCCTGCATCAAAAGAAAATGGAAGAAATACAAAGTCACTGTATCAAAAAGAACTTACTGACAAAAAAAATTTCAGGAAATAGTATGAGATTGAGAACCAAAGGTAATGAAGGAAGAAGTTCAAGCTGCATTGAAATCTTTGAAAAAACATAAGGCCCTAGGAATTGATGGAATACCAATTAGTGTATTTCAACAAACATATGCAGCCCTGGATATGCTCACAAATCTGGTGTACACTCTCTTGTCAAATGACTGGAAGTATCTGTATTGAATCCCATTCTCAAAAAAGGTGGCCCAACAGAATGTGAGAATTATTGAACAATATCACTAATATTACACACAAGTAAAATCTCCCTGGAGATTATCCAAAAATAGTTAGAACATTTGCTATTAAAGAGCTCTCTAAGGTGCTAAGGAGCAGCAATGACAGTTTAAAGATTGACATGCACTTGATTCAAACTGTGGTCTTTTCAAATGCCTCCTTTGGGTCCAAAAGTTGGACAATGAATAAGAATGTAAAAAGTTGGAGAAGAGTACTGAATATTCCACGGATGGCCAAAAGAATAAACAAATATCTCTTGGAGAAAGTATAACCTGGGTGCTTCTTACAAGCAATAATATTGAAACTTCATCTCACATACTTTGGGCATCTTGTAATAAAAGAGCAGTGCTTGGAAAAAGATGTCAAGGTGAAGAGTCAGCAAAAAAGAAGTAGATCCTCCAGAACATGGATCAACAATGATTGTAACAGTAGACTCAAGTATATCAGAGAACGGGCATAGGATATGTCAAATTTCAGACCTATTGTCCATAGAGTTACTATGAGTCACAGTCAACTGGATGACACTTAACAATAATGGTGGTGCTGCAATCTCAAAGGTACGAGGCCAACAGCTGCTCTGCAGGAGAAGGATGGGCAATCTCTTCCTGTATGATTACTGCCTCTGAAAGCTCATTGGATGGTCAGCTTTGGGTCAGTTCCAACTCTACAGTATACAACAACAATGGATAGGGAGGGAGCTATTGTGGCCTAGTGGTAAGAAGCTGTGCTGCAATCCCACAGGGTATGAATCCACCAGCTGCTCTGAGGAAGAAGGATGGGCTATCTCCTCCCATGGGATTAACTGCCTCTGAAAACCTGCTGGAGGATAAGCTATGTGTCGGTTTGGACTTGATGGTACACAACAGTAGTGGATAGAGAGTTTCAAAAAAGCTGGGAAGTTGGGGTGTCCCCTTGATTTTATAGGCTGATTTTAGAGAAGAGCTTAAGAAGTCAACTTTATTAAGATCTGTGGAAATGCCATTTACTCATGGAACAAATATTTAGCAAACACTGTGAAGCTCAGTTCTGGGTGCTGAGAATACTGTTGAGTAACATGGATAATTGGTTTATTTTAACCAATTAATTTTCTGAAGGTGCCACCTAAACATCTGTGATTTAACCCATTAATGTAAGTAGAAGAAACAGATCTATTTCAGACGAAGATAGTTTATTTTGGGAAAGAGGGTCTTCAGCCCCACAAGCCATGCTACATTTACCTGCCTATTGGGTCAGGCAGTGCTCAAGGCACCCCTCCACTGGGCTCCTAACAGGAGGAGACTTTGGTCCTTTAGTTATCCTTTTACAGGCCTCCTTGATATAAATAAGAATTGCCTTAATTTAAATGCTTGAAACTGCCTTTGCAAGCTTATCTTTCTTTGTGAAATAGTCCTAAAAAATTGTGCAGAAGTTAGTTTATTTACTTCCTTTTATTTGCATATTCACTGGACTTCCTTGTATGCATATAGATATTATCCTGTCACTGACAATATTGTACTTCAAGATGGATCTAGCAATGACTTTTTTAACTATGAAAGCAACTCCATTTTTCCTCACCTTTTCATCTCCAGAGTAATATATCACATGGTCATCCGACTCAAAATGTCCCATGCCAGTCCATCTCATCTCACCAATGCCTACCTAGTATGTTAACATTTATGCCTTCCATTTCTTCCTTAACAATATCTAATTTTCCTACATTCATGGTTCTCACATTCCATGTCCCAATCACCAGTGTCTGCTTACAACTGTTCCTCTTCCTTTGTATTTCCATACTTGAAAACTCAACCTCCTTTGCTGTTTCTGTTATCTAAATGTGTTCTGTTGTACATAGGGTTTTCAGAGGCCTGCTATTTCAGAAGTGGATGGCCAATCCTTCTTCCTAGTCTGTCTTAATGTGACTCTTCAGATTTAGAGAAGTATCAGACAGACCAGCAAGTTAAAGGTATATCCCTTATTGTGGCGTTAACTTTAGTGTCAGTGTTGTCCCTTCCTTTCTCACATGTGTCTTTACCCACTTATTTCCCTGCTCCATCATCCACCAGGATACCCATCCACTTCTACCCCCTCCCTTCACATCTATCTCCCTTTGACCAGCCCTCCATCTAATAACTTATATATGAAGTTCCATGGCTTCTGTGATTCCAAACACATCAGCTGATGGTAGTTCCTTATGTTGGGATCAATGTCTCTGAAGTTTAGTCGTAATGTTTCCCGACTAAAGGTGATGCATCCTGTTGAACTGGTATGTAGATAGGCTTTTCTTGGCCCGAGGGCCACAGGCCCTTGGGCCGGAACGAATGTCTCCCGGTTTTTTCTTCTTCAATTACCTGGGGGAGATGCGAGGGGTCTCTAAGCTGCCCAGCCTTCAGCTTGTCAGATTTTAGGACTTATAAAGGACTTGATAAGCTGTTAATTGAATTCCGCCCCCAGCCTCGACATCTTTGAATTGGAAAGATGAGTCTGTACTCTCATTACTTTTGAAATGGTCTGTGATTAACCTAAAGAGTCAATTTTGAATCTTGTTTCAAATCACCAAAGAATTATTGAGAATTGTCTTATAAATGTAAACTTCTTTCATTTACTTTGTAGGCAATGCTAGATTTTTGCAAACTAGGTTTGGAATGCAGCACACACAAGTACTAAGCAGTTATAAAATAGTTCTAAATAAAGCTAGAAGGGAGAGCTGAAATTTGGTTGGTAATGTGATCATTGGTGCAAACGCGCCAGCTCAGCTCAGGTTTAGAACTGCGTGTTCCGGAGCGCTCAAGTTCACGCTGAGGAATTTGCTAACCAATTCTCTAGGCAAGTTGGTTCTCTATACCCCCCTCACTCCTTCCAAATAGACATAGCAAAACAGTGGGATGCACACCCCCAAATTCTTAGTAAAAATCTCTTACCACCGTTTTAACTAATTTCTCCCAAAGGACCACAGCATTTATTTGTTTTTAAAAGAGAAGAAATGAAAACTTAAGGACTCCCTGAGTGAAACTGCTATCAGGGTTTAAGAGAACCTGTCTGACTTTATTGTGTGGCAGGGAAGCCAGGCAAGGTCCGAAAAGACAAAGGAGCCTGTGCCCGTGAGGGCGGGTTGGGGTGGCGGCCACTTTGTGTGAGAACCTTCTGAAGGGAGCTCCGGCGTGCTTCGGCCTGGCTACACCTTCGCTACACGCCGAGGGGGAGGCAGCGACTTTGGAGAAATATTTTGACAGTATCACAGTAAAGTTTGTGAAGACATCGTTAATGCTGTCCGCACACTGTGCACAGAAGTACTGAGAGGCGGGCGCAGGAGGAAGGCCCTGCCGAACAAGCAAACGGGCGGCGGCGGCAATTCGGTCCTCCACGCGGCAGGGGGCGCCCACGCGCCGCCCCTCCCCTCCCCGCTTCCTGCCTCTCCCGGCCGCGATGCTGCTGCCCCTGCTGCGGGCGAACTGCTTCCCTCCGTGCTCTCCCGGCGGCGGCGGCGGGGACAACGGCGCGGGGG